ACTTGCAACACTCTATCGATTATCGACACTGTTATCAGTCACTTTAGTGCTTACCCCCTGTCAGCCAACCAATTTGGCCCACACCCACACACACAAACACACAGCCATACACAGATGTACACACGGCCTTCAGCAAGACTACAACTGAAATAAAACTGGGTTGCCATTTAGCTCAATTGGGCATTTGTTACGTGACACTGGACCATATACGCCCTTAGACCATAAAAATGGTTAATAGGTAGCTGGAGTCAGTGTGCTGTGCCTATATATAGCTAGGTCAGCTTGTGGCTTGGCTGCAAGTTAAGTATTCATACTCTCGACAAAAATAAATTACGTATACGTAATGTTGTACAATGTTTGCAATAATGTTTTATAATAATACCCTTGTTTTGTTATATGGAAAAATAAGAGCAATATAAGCGCTCTCATATGTATAATTCTCCTCTTCTTTAAAGGGTATTCCAACGCATATCACTTAGAATTTCCAGCAGCACTCTGAGTTTTCTTCTCTGTTTTTTTGCTTGCTTGTTTTTTCATTATTTCTCTGTTCGGTTCTGGCAGCTTGCCGACAAATGCTTCTTACATGTGTGTATTTTTTATATCCCCTCCGTATCTGAACGTTTCAACTGATTTATGATTCAATAGTTGTTAGCGCTTCATGGACAATGCTGACAATCGCAGACATTTTCATAAGCGCATTTTTCTAAATTGCTAAACAGCTTTTTTTCCGTTCTCTATCTTCTTTTTCAACTTTTTACAATCATTTGACAAGAAATCGTTGCTGCGAATGTTTCATAAACGTCGCATTAGTGTCACAAAAAAGAAAAAAAAGAAGCAAATTCCAAAATAATAAAAAAAAGCTCCCAAGTGCTCATAAAACTGCAGACTTTACTGCTAGCGATACGGTACGATAGAAACAGCAGCAGCAACGGTAATTTCGCTGCAATCGTCAGCTCATTTTTTCTCTCTTTAGCTCTTTTTTCCATGAATAGCAGCGCGCTTCGCTATTTGAATATAAAATCCGCTTAGCTGCAGGGTGAAGTAGCCGAAAAGCATGGAACAGAAAAAAATCCATCAGAATGCTGAAAGCAGTATACGACAGGAAGATACCCTCAACAACCAGGGTCATTCAAGGTTAATATTGAGTATCAAATATAGAAAAAAGAGGGAGGATTTTAGATGAGAACGCGTCTACACTAATTGATTGTGTGGTATGGTCTATATGTAGTATATGAGAGTAAAGTAGTGAGAGGCGGGGTTATATCAACCTACAAATATAT